CATGGCCGCTGAGCCTGCGCGTCGGGAGCCTGTGCTCCGCAACGGGAGAGGCCGCAACAGTGAGAGGCCCAAGAACCGCAAAAAAAAAAAAAAAAAAAAAAGAATAACAGTTTTCTCATAAATGCCTACAAATTTTTACATTGGCCATGAAGTAGATGGTGACAAATGTATAAACTTTTGGAAGGGACCCATAATTATCTTGAGAATTTGGTCACATGGAAAAAACTTTTAATTTTTTGCATTAAAAACAGAAGGGCAACATAAGACAAACACATCTGTCACGGCAAGAATTCAGTAACATAAAAGCCACTGTAGTGTGAAAATACCAAACTTGCAGTGATAAAAATGTAAGTTCTCAAAAAACTTTGGTGGAAGGCTGCCAATTTCCAAATCCTGTGTCAGTGGTTCTCAAACTTGAGTGAGAATCAGACTCACCTGGAGGGCAGTCAGATTGCTGGGCTCCAGTTTGGGATTTAGCAGGCCAGGGGTAGCCCACGAATGTGCATTTCTAAAGTGCTTCCAGGTGATGCTGCTGCTGGTCCAAGCACCACTGTTTGAGAAGCGACACGTGGGAACCGCTATTGCACAAGGTCCAAATATCACACGAAAAAGGGCTTGACAAAATGTGGTTGCAGAACGTGAGTTTTGCTTTTCGTGTTAGTGGAGGGGCTTGTCTTGGCAATTAGGGAATCTGTCCCTGCCCCCAGTTTAAGCCAGCCCCTCCTGTTTGCATGCTCCAGGAGGCTGCTGTTGGAGCCCAATGGGGAAGGTGGAAGAGGAAATTGTCTAATCATTCTCCTTATTGTCTTTTCAGACTTAGTGTGGAAGGGTGTTATTGTATATAGTCGTACTGTTATGTCATATGTTCCTTTCTGTGTGAGTTTAAAGTTATTTTTTTCCTTAATTATTCTCTCCCCACTCCCCTCACCCCTACGACATGCAAAATTTGAAGAGTTAAAAGAAAATCGCTACCCTGTTATCCTTCTAACCCATCCACGTCCTCCTCAAGATAGGCCCTTGTTGCATATTCTTGGTGGTTTGGGGAAGATTTCCGTGCTTGGCTTCCATCTAGGTACCAGCTTTTGTGAGCCGCTCGGTGCAGCCTTCCTGGTAGATTTGTAGACATTTGCAGTACACCTTGGGAGGGAGGAGAAGTGGAAATCATTCTCAGATGTTAAACTGAAACATGTTTCTAATTGAAAGCATGAAGAGAATGTATACATGAAAGTGCCTCCGGGGGGGAGGGGCGGTGATCTCTGGCAGAGTCTCAGCTTTGAAAGCCCCATCCAGTCCTCGCTTGTGGCCACTTCTGTTCTCTCTGGGTGGAGCCCATTTCCATTCCTGTGACATTCCATAAATAACCGTGGCCGAGTAGGGACCTAATGTTCATCACTCGGCCAGGAAAATGCTGATAAATTAGAATCGTGAACTTTAGAATTGCATAGTTTTTGACTTTGAATTCTAGAAGCCTAATATGGAAAGAGCCCTCAGGGACCATTTTAGAACAAGCAGCTACTGCCCTCCCCGCTGCTCCTGGACTTGTACAGGTACAGAGGCCAAGCTTAAGTAACTTACCCCAAGGTCACCTCAGGAGCTGGCTGCATTTTTCTTTCCTTTTATTTTTTTTCTCCCAAGAATCCTTCCAAATTTTTAGATAATTTGTCAGCCTAGTATTCTGACACTTGACAGCCATTTATCATTATTTGCTGTAATTAATAGGAATTGTAGGGAGATAGGAAAAGTATCTTCTCTTGTTTATAGAAAATCAGTAGGTTTCAGGGCTTTTAGGTCTTGGTCATTTGGTTCCTCCATAACTGAGTCTCCTCTGGTTCATATTCCGCATCTATTTTGTGATTGTTTGTAGACTGAACCTTGTGCTGAATTTTATGGGAGATTTAGTTCTGGGATCTGCCTCAGGACAAAGAGTTTAAGTCAAAGGTGGGCTTATCAGGTTCATTTAAATACATTAATTTGGACAAATAAAGAAGGGACTGAAGGAATCATGTCCATAGGCCTATGATGTTCATAAAATTTAAGTCAGTAACATCTAAACTCCCAGGGGACCTTGCCTATGATAAAATCCACTCACCCTACCCATGACCCATAGCCCTGCTAACTTTAAAACTGCTCGGCCACAAGTCTGGTGATTCAAAGTACATGCATCCTAGTTAATAGGAGATAAGAGGTTGTTTCTTTTTGGTTGCCTTTTGTTATAAGATTAGGGATGTACTTGCTTGAAAAAATCTATGCATATATATATGTGTGTGTGTGTGTGTATAAAGGTTGACTCAACCTTTCTGCCCTTGGTTTTTCTCTCAAAAAAAAAAAAAAAAAAAGGTAGGTTGGACTAGATTTCTGAAACAGTCACTCCAAGCTCTGATAGCTTATGCAAGATGAAGGCTGTAACACTTTTGGGGGTTTGGGTTTGGAATTGGGCTTTTGTTTTCTGCCAAATGTTGTTTGGATACCTAAAATTTAAACTTAAGCCACAGAACACAACTTAAAAAGAAGGGCAGAATACTTTCTTTTTTTCCCCTGTATTTCTGATGCATTTCTGAGTGGCAGCTGTAGTAAAGCGGTTAAGAGTGAAGACTTTGGAGCCAGTTCACTTGAATTCAAATCCCAACCCTTCTATTTACTAATGATTGTGTGACCTTTGGCAAATTGTATAACCCCAGTGCCTCTTTCTTCATCAGTAAAATGAGCAAAATAAAATATCTACTTAAAACAGTTGCTGGGGGGTTAAATTTGTCGATATCTATTAGAATAATGCCTGGCACATAGGAAGCCATTAATAAATATTATCTGTTATCGTCATCATCATCATTTTGTTTTATTGAGGGATAGCCCGATGCTACTGGTAAGCCTCTGGAAGAATTAGTAAAGTCTACAATGCTTTTCTTCAAAGTGTGTCTTCTATTTCTTTCTGCAGCAAGCTGTGTTCCTCCATGTCAGAATGGAGGGATGTGTCTCCGGCCTCAACTCTGTGTGTGTAAACCAGGGACCAAGGGCAAAGCCTGTGAGACAACAGCTGCCCAGGACACCTCGTCACCAGTGTTTGGAGGGCAGAGTCCTGTGGCTGCTTCCTCCTGGGTCCCTCCTGAGCAAGCAGCAAAGTACACTTCATCTAAGAAGGCAGACACTCTACCAAGAGTCAGTCCTGTGGCCCAGATGACCTTGACCCTCAAGCCGAAGCCTTCAGTGGGACTCTCCCAGCAAATACATTCTCAGTGAGTGTTTTGAACTTGCCTCCAGCTCAGGAGCATCTTAAGTTCTCTCTTGGATGCATTGCTTTAAATCACTCTTCTTTTCCTGCACAATTTGCAGAAATCACTTGGATAGTAATGTCCTTCTTTCCTTTTCTTAAGGTTTTACATGTTATGTTTACACATAAAGTTTCTTAAAAATACTCGATATGTGTGTTTAGCCTCTGCAGGGAAGATTTACCATAAGCATTAAGCAAAGCAGTAGTGAGGATTAAGGGGATCAAGGTTGGAAGGGAATAATAAAGGTAGTTGTTTGGTTATGGTGGAGTTGTGAGTTAAACAATTCTCTTTTTTCGAGGTGGGGGGTGATTTAAAGTTTTTGAAGTCATAATTTAAAAGGAGAAACATTGAGTGTGACTTTTAAAGGTACATGGAAAAGGTAGGAACTCATCTTTCCACAGAGAAGGTATTCAAGTGAAAGTGAGTCCTGGGAAAGAGAATTTCTCCACCTTGGTAGCAGGTTAAGTGTATCTTCTATTAAACACCATGTTTTCCTCCCAGTTGCCATGCAGGTCCATTTCTGGTGAATGAGCTTGTGTTTTATTTATGGGAGCATGGTTTTTTTTCTTAGCATTAGGAAGTAAGTGCTATTCTGAACAAAATGAGAACTCTGTAAGGACAGGGTCCTTACGCAAATTGTTTCCTTTTAATTAGCTACTCTACATGGATAACAAGATGCAGAATTACTGCAGCTATCACTTGTCATTTGTCTAGGAATGTAAAATACAGGAAGTTCTCAACTTAAAAATGACCCAGCAGTTCATCTGTAAGTCACTTGCTTGGAATTTTGAATGCTTTCCCCACCAACCCCCCGGGATAGCTTCCACCTGGTGATTAGTATCCCGTCGGCCCACAGAAGTTATTTAATCTGTTACTACGATGAAATTATCCTAATTTATACTTCCCCTTTGAGTAGGCCACCTACTGTCCCTGATGAGTGGGGTCCTGATAACTTTTTCCTTTCTGTTGTTCCCTCCTCAGTCCTCCTCTTTCTATTTTTCATTTTTTCCCTCTCATTTCTTCTTGTCTCATTCTTCAATTCTACCATGATAAAGAGATTTGGGAGGCTGTGCTGGAATCTAAGCACTTTGCTACCATTTCAACTGGAAAACACATCCTGCAGCCCTCAAGAAGAAGGAATTGTAGTTATAGCCAGTACTTAGTAACTGCTTACTGCATGCCAGGTACTGTTTCACATGCTTTGTATGATTGTTCATTTATAACTCACAGTGATACCCCATCAGGTAGGTGCCATTACAAAGCCCATTTTACAGATGAGGAAACTGAGGTACAGAGTGCTTAAGTAATGTATTCAGGGTCCACAGTTAATAAGTGAATAATAAGTGTTAGGATTTAAATAGAGGCAGAATAAGGAGAATACATATTAGGCTTTAAATGGAGGCAGCCAGGCTCCAGCATCCATGCCCTGAAGTGTAAAGGGTGGCAGACTTTCTCTGTAAAGGGCCAGATAGTAACTATTTGTAGCTTTGTAGGACATATGGTTTCTGTTGCAGCTTCTCAATTCTGCCATCCTTAGCACAAAAGCAGACATAGATAATGCTTAAGTGAATGAGTGTGAGTGCTCTAATAAAACTTTATTGATGGATGTTGAAATTTGAGTTTCATATAAATTTCATGGCATGCAATATTATTCTTTTGATTTTTTTTCTCAACCATTTAAAAATGTAAAAATAATTCTTAGCTTATGGGCCATACAGAAACAGCCTGTGTGGGCCAGCTTTGGCCCCTGAAGTGTAGTTTGCTGACCCCTTCGCTAAAGGATAGTAGTGTTTTTTTGTGTCAGAACATGTGTCTTTGAAATAATATAAAGCACTGATTATATCATAGCTAGACATCTCTCTTCCTGCATTGTTCTGGATCTTAAAAACAAAGAACAGTTCTGTGTTGAGCTATGCCTTGGCAATCAAGAGTCAGATTACTGTGCATTGCAGTTATTTTTTTCTAGCATTATTACTTACATAAGCTGTGAAGTCATTTACAAGCAACATTATTTATCCTGAATATCACCATCCCCTGTTAGAATTTGACCCTCTATGATGTGTATATATGGATTGTTAGTGAGAACCATATGTCAAATGTCAGATAAAGGAGCAACCTTTTCCCCCCTCCCCCTTTTTTCTGTTTTTGGTAGCAGCAGTGTAATTTAGACAAGAATGTTGTGAGTCAAAGGGGAGGCTAAGGTTTCAGCTCCAACTTGGCTTTGGGAAAATAAAAGTCATTAGATAATTTGCTTCAGAGCCCTCATCTGCTGAATGATGATTTTTACGATCACATTGTTATAGGCATGTGTTTATGGGCGTGCCTACTGCGTGCTTTTGGGTGAGGAGAAGAGATGGCCCAAGATGCTAACAATTCTGATGTTTTCCTAATAAACGTTTGTCAGTTGCCCTGTTATCTGGGTACTGCAGGGAGTATTAAGATGTACAAGTTCCAATTCTGCTCTTAAGGAGATTTTGAAATGATAGATGAGCTATCACTTGAGAAGGGTACAAAGGAAGGGGTACAGTTGGCCCACTGATGAATTTAGGTAATGACCCGATCACCTGAAATTTAAACTGTCAAGGAGGCACATATGATAGGACCACTTTGGCTACTTTTGAGAAATGTAACAGTTCTTAAGTTACCTATTTGTAATATTGCCTACTTTAGGGTGTTTCAGGTTTGGTTTGGTTTTTGTTTAGTGAAGGAGGAAATTAATTAAGCCTTCTTAAAATGCTTGTAGACATAAAGGCACCTAAAATATCAAAATGTGTAGTTAGTGATACATCCATTGTGTGGCATATGAAATGCTGCAGTCTTGATCATTCAGGTTTTTATTGAGCACATGCTATGTGCCATGCGTTGTTCTAGGGGCTCAGGATGTAGCACTGAAAACTACCTTCCTGGAGCCTACAGTCTGGAAGCGGGGAGACGATTGATGAGTGGTGTAATTAAACATATGTTAGATTGCGTTAAGTGCTGTGGAGAAAATAAAACTGCAGTAATGGACAGGGAGTGCAGGGTGAGTGTGGGATGGGAAGGAGTGAGGGCCCTGGTGGTTTTAAATAGGCTTTCAGGGAAGGTTCTGCTGAGAAGGTGACATTTAGGCAAAGGCCCGGAGGAGGTGAGGGTGTGAATCATGGAGAAGTGTGGGGCTAGGGCAGAGGCCCCAGCGGGAGCCTGCCTGGGCTGTTTGAGGAATACTGACTTTAGTAAAACTGTAATGTTAAAACTACACATTTTAGGCAGGTGGGGGTTGGATGAATGGGTTTTACTTTGGCCAAATTGGTTTTAGACAGCTTGGCTTAGAACCAAATACAAAGTTCTCTAGAAAAATCAAAGGAGGGAGCAATTGTTTACAGATTTTGGAGCATTGGGGATGTGGAGGTCTAGGGACGGCTCTGGAGAGTGTTATCTGTGAGCTTGAAAAGATGGTTAAACTTGACCACAAAGAACTGGAGAAGAGCATTTCTAGGAAAAGCAATGATGTGACACCAGAAAGACTGCTTTATTAGTTATCTACTGATGTGTAATAGGTCCCCACAAACTTGGCAGCCTAAAACAATAAAAATTTATTGTCTGACAGATTCTGTGGGTCAGGAATCCAGGAGGTGCTTAGCTGGAAGCTCTGGCTCAGAGTCTCTCATGAGGTTGCAGTCAGCAGGGGTGGCTCGACTGGGGCCAGAAAACCTACTGCCAAGGTGACTCACTGCCATGGCTATTGGCAGGAGGCTTCACTTCCTTTCCCCACGGACCTCTCTGCAGAGCTGCCTGAGCATCCTCACAACATGGCTGCTGGCTTCTTCCTGAGCAAGTGATCCTCAAGCCACAGGGCCTTCCCAGTCTTGAAAATGACACACCTTTACCTCTGCCTTGTTCTACTCATTAGAAGTGAGTCACTAAGTTGAGTCCACTCTCAGAGGGACTGTAGTTAATAAGCTGCATTGTTTGAAGAGAGAAATATCAAAGAATTTGTGAACATATTTGAAAATGACCACATTTAGATATGATTTGAATGGATCTTGATATAAATGAAGACTAGTGGTAATGAAAGTTTTTAAAGGTTGGTTAAAAACCAAGTTAAAGACTAAGATTTCAACAAAACAATTCCAAAAAGACCCAACAAGACAAAATAGAAAAAGTACTGAAGGGGGAACCTATAGCTTAAAAGAGGTTTAAACCACAATGTTCATTACAGTTCTATTTACAATAGCCAGGACATGGAAGCAACCTAAGTGTCCATCGACAGATGAATGGATAAAGAAGATGTGGCACATAGATACAGTGGATTATTACTCAGCCATAAAAAGAAACGAAATTGAGCTATTTGTAATGAGGTGGTTGGACCTAGAGTCTGTCATACAGAGTGAAGTAAGTCAGGAAGAGAAAAACAAATACTGTATGCTAACGCAACGGGAATAAAGACGCAGACCTACTAGAGAATGGACCTGAGGACATGGGGAGGGGGAAGGGTAAGCTGTGACAAAGTGAGAGAGTGGCATGGACATATATACACTACCAAATGTAAAACCAATAGCTAGTGGGAAGTGGCTGCATAGCACAGGGAGAACAGCTCGGTGCTTTGTGACCACCTAGAGGGGTGGGATAGGGAGGGTGGGAGGGAGATGCAAGAGGGAGGGGATATGTGGATATATGTATATGTATAGCTGATTCACCATTGTAAAGCAATTATACTCCAGTAAAGGTGTTAAAAAAAAAAAGAGGTTTAAGAAACATATTAACCAATCACAATATTTAAATTATGTTTCTCCTGATGCAAACACACTGTAAATAAAAGAAAAAAGATAATGATGATAGGACAGCCATGAAAATGCTGACATTCATTTGGAAATTTGATGATATAAAAGAATGATTGTTGATTTTGGGGGCTGTGCTGATGACCTCGTAGTTATGTAAGGAAGGGGAATAATATTAAAATATTTACAGATGACATTGTATGATGT